AGATGCAGGGTCTGCTGGCTGGGTGCTGGCAGGCTTGCACCTGGCACGGGCACCGTAGCCAGACCGTGCCCCTTTAAGGGCTCTGAGGCAGGGAGGGGGGCAGAAGAGTTTCCCTGGTTGTGCCCAGAGTGGCCACCAGGGCAAGCTGGGGTGGGCTAGCCTCCCACTAGTTCGAATTAAGTGGTTACACAGCCCTTAATTCAAACTACTTAATTCAAACTAGGGTTCATAGAATGAGGTTTATCTAGTTCGAATTAAGCTCTCCGCTAGTTCGAATTAAGTTCGAACTAGCGGTTTGCATGTGTAGCGCCTATGAAAGTGAATTTGAACTAACGTCTGTTAGTTCGAATTAACTTTGTAGTGTAGACATACCCTTAGCTCTTTAGCCCCACCAAAGGAAAGGAGCTAAGAGGGGACAATAAGGAAGCCTTACAAGAAGTGGGTTGTGCCCACAAAAGCTCATGATCCCATCTACATACTTTGTTGGTCTCTAAGGTGCTGCTAAGACTATTCACTGTTTTTTAAGTTTTTCTGGTTACAGACTAACTCAGCTCCTCCTCTGAAGCTTTGGTTTGAATATAGACTCTTACAGATACTGTAGAATGACTATTGTCCATTGTTCCAATAGTTCATTCCCATGCTGTTAAAAGTGTGGCTCATTTTTGGTCTGATTTTCTTTCTCTTCAACTTCCAGGCCTGAAATAATATTCTGCCTTTTTGTCTGCTGGATTCACAAGTGCTCATTCCCAGCAAACTGTTCCCGGGGGATCATAAGGAGGGATCATGGAGAGAGATAAGCTATAAGCATGATCCTCCACGGTGGTCAATCAGAGTAGCTTAGCTGATGGCAACAGAACTGTGCCAATTTACAGTAGCCCAAATGCCCTAGGGTGCTTTAAAGTGAAGATTCTTAGCTAGAGCTCAGTGCTTTATTCTTATCAATCCCCTGCTAGGTGAATGGGATAAAGTCTCTCCTTCCGGTCGCTCTTCTCAGTGGGAAGATCCAAGTGCACCAGAATGGCTTCTCTGTTAAAATTGCCACTGATTTTGGGCTGGAGATTTCTTATGATGGGATTCAACATGTGGTGGTCACGGTGCCCTCAACTTACCATAACTTGACCTGCGGCCTGTGCGGGACACTGACTGGTGACCCCTCCGATGACTTCCGGACTCCAAATGGCAGTTTAGTCACGTCAGCTGCTCTCTTTGCCACAAGCTGGCAGGTAAAGGGTGGCAGGCACCAGTGTGTGGAGGACCAGGAGCTGCCTTCTTGTCCCACTGCTGAACAGGTTCATTACTCTGGCCATGACTACTGCGGCATTATGCAAATGTCTCCAGGCCCCTTCACAGCCTGCGCGCAGGCCCTGTCCCAGGCAGGCTGGGTGGAGACTTGTATATATGACCTGTGTATGTCCAGCGGGAATCAGACTGTGCTGTGTGGGGTTCTGGGTGCTTATGCAGAGAGCTGCCAGGCAGCCAACATCACTGTGGGGCAGTGGAGAACAGACCGATTTTGTGGTAAGTAAAATCTCTGCAAATCTTTAGCTAACCATGAAGTACCTGTGCTGTCCATCTGTCTTAAGCACTTATATGGCCTCCATCGCCTCAGTAGATGATTGCCTCACCATCTGGAATAGCATTTTTCTCACAGTAGTTTTGTGAGGCAGGGCACTGCTGTTTCACAGATGGGGACTTGATCCACACAGAGGATCAGGCTATGGCTACTTTGCAGTGCAGTATGGTGTGTGAAATGCAGAGTGCCCCACATTGTTGCACTCCAGTTGCCCCATGTGGATGCTGCTGGGGTGTACCAAATGGTCACTACCTTTTCTTAACATAGTCCTCCTTCATACTGGACTGTGATAACATGAACTAGTTACCTCTTAGCTCATGCTAGTCACACCCACATAGGCTAGTTAGAGCACATTAGTGCACACTGCAGCTCCTCCCTCCCCCCAGTCCAGTGGTCTCAAACCGTGGCCATCCTCCAGGTGATCCGCAGCTTGAGCGCAGCCCTCCTCCTCACACTGCTGCTCCAGCCTAGCAGGCGCTATGCAGCCATGGGACTGAAACATCAGCTCCAGCTTCCCGCTTGGAGGGCACGGGGAGGGGGCGAAGTGTGTGAAGAAAGTCCTGACCTTCCCCACCAGACCTGGCTCACAGAGAAAGACAGAGCAAGTGGAGCAAGGGTCTCCATTCACTGCCGCTCCGCCCCCTCCTTACCATGCTGGGAGAGTGTCAGCACAGGGATGTGCTGTCTGGACACTTTCTCCACTGCTCCCATTGACTGCCAATGAGGGGGAAGCACCCCCTAATGCCCACATTCCACACCCCAATGCCCCCTCACTCACCCTGCCTCCAAGACCCCTCACCCCAGCTTGCTCCTACACACTCCCTTGCTCTCACACCCTCCCTCCTGGCCAGACACCCTACCCCCAATCTGCTCCTGCATCCTCCCTCCTGGCCAGACTCTACACCTTCCCAGACACCCTAATCCCAGACTGCTTCTGCATTTCCCTTGCTCCTGCCCCTTCCCCCGGACAGACATCCTACTCCCAGCCTGCTCCTGCACCCTCCCTTGCTCCTGCAACATCCCCTCTGGAGAGATACCCTACCCAGGACCCCTCCTGCACTCACTTTTACTCCTGCACTCTCCCTCCTGGCCACATCCTGCATCTTCCCTTGTTCCTGCTCCCTCCCTTGGCCAGACATCCTACTCCCAGCCTGCTTTTGCACCCTACTTCCCACCCAGACCTCACAACCTCTCCCCCTTTTGCACCTCACCTCCCTCCCAGATCCTGCACCCATCCCTATCCTACTCACTGGCAGCCCTTGGAACCCCACACTGAACCCCTCATTTTTGTCCCCATCCCAGAGCCCCAAAGGGGTCCACAAAATCCACTAATTTCAGAACCCTAGAAAAGTAAATCTGGCCTATGGGAAGCCCTGAACCTCAGCCCTCCCTATCTCTTCCCCTCACCACATGGGGGCTGAAGTGTCAGAGGAGTGAGGTGTCTCATTTGGGGCCACATCAGTGAGGGTTGGCGGTTCTTGGAGGAGTTGGGTGAGGTTTTTTTTGTTTTGGTTTTGGTTTTTTGCTTTTCACTTGTGTGGTCCCCAACTGATTTTTCTGTGGGGTCAGTGGCTCCTGACCCAAAAAAGGTTCCTCATCCCTGCCATAAATAAAACTTTTTGTGTTGAACATAAATTATTATTTTACTTTATTTAAAATTAAGTTTGATAAACTAATACAAGAAAGTTAAAAGGCTTAATCTGTTTAATAATTTAACCATTCTCCCTAGCTGCACCATTAGCAAAATGGCTTAGGTGTAATTAACAGTGAGTTTCCATTAGCAACAGCTGGTCCGTGGAAAGGTTTGCATTGAGCCAGATGGGCCAAAAAGTTTAGAACCACTGTGCTAGTCCAAAGTCTGCACAAGATATCCCAAGAAGTACATTTTGAGCCTAATACTGATCTCATTTCCACACTGGCTCCCATCATGTAACATCTGATATATGCAGTTATGAGATTGGACTGAGGCCCTTTGTTTACTTCTCAGATTCTGCATATTTGAGGGTGGCAGGTAAGAAATAAAATTGCTGGTGTCATTGCTGCCAACAATTTCACAAATATTGGCAAGGAAGGGTGGACTAGCCCTTTGGGCAATGTACTGAACTGGGGTTTAGCCTCAATTCCTGCTTTGCCACAGACTTCCTGTGTGACCTAGGGCATGTGTGTGCCTCTGCTCCCATCTGCAAAATGGTGGTAAGCCTTTTCCCGTCTGATGTCTGCATAGATTATCAGCTCTGAGACAGGGACTGTTTCTTACTATTATTAGTGTCTGCAGAGTGCCTAGCACAACAAGGGCCTCATTTCCATTCAGGCGTCTAGATGCTTCTTTAATACAAAGAATATCTATCTATCTATCTATCTATCTATCTATCTATCTATCTATCTTCTGTTTGATTGTTCAAGAACTCATCCTAAGCCATAAGAGCTACAGACTACACTGCTGTCTGTCACAGCTAATAGGCCCAACCCTTCAGATGACTTCCCTGGGAGTTGCAGGTTCTCAAACACTGGTTCATTTCTGTGGTTCAGGGTGCTAACAATGTTCTCCTTTTCCTTCCTTTGAGTCTAGGGGTCACTTGTGCAGAGAACAGCCATTATGAACCCTGTACCAGTGCCTGTCCTGCCAGCTGCATGGATTCCACGGCCCCCCTTTACTGCCCCCAGCCGTGCAGAGCGGGCTGTGTTTGTGACAAAGGCTACATTCTCAGTGCAGCCACATGTGTGTCCCTGAGTCAGTGCGGCTGCACGCTGGAGGGTCGGTATCACCAGCTGGGAGAGGAGGTGATCTTGACAGACACCTGCAGCAGGAAATGCAGCTGCCGCCAGCCAGCCCAGCCCATGGACTGCCAGGATCATGCCTGCGGGGCTCTGGAGACGTGCAGAGTTGTGGATGGCGTCCGAGGCTGCTACCCTGTGACGTTTGGCACCTGCAGGGTGTTTGGCCACATCCACTACACCACGTTCGACGGAGTCATGTTTGATTACCAAGGAGTTTGCAAATACACCCTGAGCAAGTTCTGTGGGCCCCCCGGGAGCCTCCCGGACTTTGCCGTCAGAGTAGAGAATGAGCACAGGGGCTCCATCGCGGTGTCCTGGACACGCCTGGTGGAGCTGGATGTCTACGGGGAGCGTATTGCTATGGCCACGGGACAGTACGGCCAGGTGCAGGTGAGAGCATTTCCATGGCTTCTCTTACATTTTGCTTTTTTCCCCAGCAAGTAACTTGGGAAGAGCCACAAGGGCACTCTAAATCAGAGTGGATGCAGCTATCCTGAAGGGATGCTACAAAGTCAAGTACAAGCTGGAGTGCTGTATTCTCTGACTTCTCCCCCTTCTCCAAGTATAGGCATGACCCTTCCTGCCCTTGAGGAGGGGGACGATAGTGTAAAACTTGTACATTCATGCTATAGTCTCCTCATAACATGGGGAATGCCAGTTTTCCCAGGCCAGACACACATCCTGTTCTTAAAGATTTCTTCTTGTCTCGTTTTCCCCATAGGTGAATGGATCCCTGGTCAATCTTCCCTTGGTGCTTGCTTCAGGTAAAGTGTATGCTTATTTCAGTGGCTCGTCCTCTGTGGTTCAGACAGATTTTGGCCTCTCTGTATCCTATGACTGGTTCGACTCTGTGTCGGTTTCTGTTTCTGAGGCCTATTCTGGGTTCCTCTGTGGACTTGGTGGAGACTTCAATGGGAACTGGAGTGATGATTTTCGAACTCCGAATGGTTCTGTGGTCCATGACCCTGTCACCTTTGGCAACAGCTGGAGGGTTGCCAATTCCCATTTTCACTGCACAGCCGTTGGGCTCCCCGCCCATTGTAATGAACGAGCCCAGTACAGATCCCAGACCTATTGCAGGATCATCGCAGACTCTGCTGGGCCTTTTAAAGTGTGTAACAAACCAGCTGATGCTCATGTTCACATGAAGAACTGCATGCAGGATATGTGTGCAACTCAGGGAATCCACGAGACTCTGTGTCAAGTGCTTCGCAGTTATGCTCAGCAGTGTCAAAGTCGGAGCATTGCCATTAAGCCATGGAGACAGCAGGCTGCGTGTGGTAAGCAGATGGTTCCAGACACATGCTCTTCCTCTCTTATTGAACAGCTCAGACATTAGCCTGAGTCACATTGGTCAGGGCCGGCTTTTCCTGTTCCTACATTCTGATGCTTTCCTTTCAAAGATCAGTATAAAAATCTTTAGATGATGAGGACAGATCATTTATTTCTTTGTTCCCAGTTTTCGTTCTTCAGAACAAATTAGCTTTTCTGATACAGTGTCGACTTTTATTCTTCCTGCTTTCAAATGTCAGTCTCTCAAAATGTCCTACCAAGCTATGAGCCAGCACTACAAAGCTGGTAAAACACAGGAGTCATTAGTTTCTCAATAGAGCTCCAATATCAGATCTAGTTTGAAATTAATAAAATGAAAATGAGTGCGAGAAATGTTCATCTTAGATGCAAAACTGCCAGTTCTAATGGGTAGAATTTTGACAAGTGCTCTTGGGATTTAGGAGCACAAATCCCACTGGGATTCATACTATAAGTTGCTCAGGTACCTCTCAAAATGCCAACCAACATGAAAATATTTTTTCACACAACCATCCCTTTTCATGTTCTATCATATTATCCCTATTTTCATTCCCTCTCTGGGGTTTACTGCCTGGTAGGGACTCCCTGGAACACTCCTTTGGGATTTAACAATCCTTTTTATGTCCCTTTCAGAGTTAATCTGCCCCCCCAACAGCCACTATGAGCTCTGTGGACCTTCCTGCCCGGCCTCTTGTGCCCACCCAGCTGTGCCCTCCCGCTGCCGGACTGCATGCCAAGAAGGGTGCCAGTGTGACCCTGGCTTTGTGCTGAGTGGCACTGACTGCGTGCCTCGGGAGCAGTGCGGCTGCACCCACAATGGCAGATATCACCTGGCGGGGGAAAGCTTCTGGGAAGGAGAAAATTGCCAGAGATTGTGCAGGTGCAATGGCTCCTCCCACGCTGTCCAGTGCTCCAGCGCTGCCTGTGCTCCCGGGGAATCCTGTGGCACTCGCCGGGGGGTTTATGGCTGCCACGAGAGAACCAACGGCATCTGCTGGGCGTCTGGGCTGCCCCACTACACTACGTTTGACGGCAAGCGCTACGACTTCCAGGGCACCTGCAGATATGTCTTTGCTGAACTGTGTGCGGCATCAAAGTCCTTGCCCTTCTTCAGAGTGGAAGTGAAGAATGAAAACCTGCCCCATGTCCCTGTGGCTGTGACGTCGGAGGTGTTTGTCCTTGTGAGCGGAGTTGAGATCCACCTGCAGAGGGGTCAGCATGGGACAGTCCAGGTAATTCCCTGGGAAAGTATTGACTCAAAGATCTTACACCGGAAAAATATTTCCCAGATTATTTTCTACCTTCCCCAATAAACCAATCCTTGTTCTCTACTAGTCCACTTTAAAGGTGGCTACAACTAAAATCCTCGATTAGGTGGACAGTCTACACTGCCAGCTTTGCCGGCAATGACTGTGCAAATGAAATGCTGCATGGAGAGCGTGGACCCCATGTGTCGCTTGCTCCCATGCAGCGGCCCAGCTGAGCGGCGCAGAAGTCAGCCGAGTGCCATGATGGGAGGCAACAGTGCCACCCAGAGGGAACAGCCAGCATTTCAGTGTTACAGAGTCACAGACATTGGGCTACTACATATATGACTAGCTAATAGCCCGTCATAAAATGGGATTTATGGGTCTCTCCTCTATGTCTGTCTCTCTCTCTCTCCTCCTCCTTCTGCCTAACCCCTCTCTCCCTCTGCCTCCTGCCTCTCTCTCTGTCTCTCTCTTTCTCTTCTTCCCCACCTGCCTCTCACTCTCTGGGTATGTCTACACTGCAAAGTTGAATAGCGTCTATTCATGCGGAGCTCTTAATTCGAATTTGGTAAATTTCATTCTATGAGGAGTAATGCCAAATTAGAAATAGCTACACAGCTAAGTGCTATGTAGAAACTTAATTCGAAATAGGGGCCCTCCAGCCCTTCCCAGGGAGCCCTGGTGGCCACTCTGGGCACAACCAGGAAAACTTACTCTCCTCTCCCCAGCCCTAGAGCCATTAAAGGGGTAGACCCTGGCCACAGTGCCTGTGCCAGCTCCAAGCCTGCCAGCTCAGAGCCAGCAGTGGCCACTGGGGCCCCTGACCCAGAGGCCCCAAAACATGAGCCAGTAAGCCACTGGCAGCCAGCCCTCCACCGCTCCCCAGGAGCAGTCTGCCAGCTCCCAGGAGCCTGACAGGGGCTGGAAAAGGCGGGCGCCTTCCTGGTCCAGGGTGGAGATCATGGACCTTATTCAGGTTTGGGGGGGGATGCCCCCAACATTCATGATCTCCGCACTAGACAGAGGAACCTGGCCATGTATGGCAGGGTTCTAGCCTTCACAGCCTCCTGCAGCAATGAGTTCCACAGGTTGACTATTTGCTTTAAGAAGAACTTTCTGTTATTAGTTTGAAGCCTGCTACCCATTAATTTCATTTGGTGTCCTCTAGTCCTTCTATTATGGGAACTAGTGAAGAACTTTTCTTTATGCACCCTCTCCATGCCACTCATGCTTTTATAGACCTCTGTCATATCCCCCCCTCAGTCTCCTCTTTTCTAAGCTGAAAAGTCCCAGTCTCTTTAGCCTCTCTTCATATGGGACCTGTTCCAAACCCCTGATCATTTTAGTTGCCTTCTCCGCTCCCACCTTTTCTCTTCCCCTCTCCCACCTCCTTTTCCCAGTCTCCCCAAGTTTTGTTAAATAAAGAGAGTTTCTATTTTTGAACACACGTGTCCTTTATTTTGTACGTCAGGAAGGGGGGCTAGGGAGCGGTAAGTGGAAGGAGGTGAGGGAGGAATGGGGTACGACAGGGTGGCGCTGAGGTCTCCTCGGGGTGGACGCTCTCCCGCAGGGCCTCCTGGATCCTGACAACCCCCTGATGGACCTCCCGGATGGCAGCCTGCAGCAAGTGCAGCCAGGCTGATGGCAATGACCCCACAAGATGCACCAGCATGCCCAGGGGTGGGTCTGGTTCCATGTTGCAGAGTGCCATGTTGTCCTGAGTGAGGGCAAGAAGTTCACTCTGAGAAACAAATGCTTTGCGGTCCCTCAGCGGGGTAGACAAACAAGCAGGGAACCCTGAGAACTGTCTGTCTGGTATTGGGGGGCAGGGTAGGATCCCTTAAAGCACAGACCTCGGCTAGCCTGAGGCAGCAGCCCCCCACACTAAGTCTGACCCTGATGCCCTGCCGGCACTGGTTCCGGCCAGCTTTACCTTCAATTCAGGGTCCACTCAATGTGGACGCGCTATTTTGAATTAGAAAAACGCTATTTTGAATTAGTTTTTGTGTCTAGATGCATTATTTTGAATTAGCTTATTCAAAATAAGTTAATTCAAAATAGTGCTGTAGTGTAGACATACCCTCCCTTTCTCTTCTCTTCTTCCTCCTGCCTCTCACTCTCGCCCCACTCCGTCTCTCTCTTTCTCTTCTCCCCTCCTGCCTCTAACTCAGCTCTCCTCTGTCTCTGTCGGGGATGCACACTCGTCCAGGCCCTGCCCCCTGGGCATGTATGTCCCCGCCCCCTTCTCCTCCCGCCGTGTTGCTCGGAAAGGAGGTCGGGGTGGTGAAGTTCACGTGCAGGGGTTGGGCCCGGGGCTGCTGTCACGCCGCGTATCATCACTCTGCCCCCCCCTTTGCCTCCTGCTGTGGCGCTCGGCTGAGTTCTGCACCGCTCAGCCGGGTCGCAGTGGGGGAGCAAGCGGAGCAAGCGGCTGTTTGGGCTCCCCTCCAGCTGCCTGGCTTAGTGGCACAGAACTTAGCCGAGCACCACGGTGGGAGGCGAGATGGGGCAGGGAGGTGACGTATATGGTTGCCAGGTGTCCGGTTTTCTACCGGACAGTCCAGTTTTCGGGCCCTCTGTCCAGTAAAAAAAATCAGAAAATACTGGACATGTACAATGTCAGGTATTTTCTGGTTCTCTGGCTGGGTGCCAGATGGAAGCCTGGCGGGGGCGGGGGAGTGGCTGGGAGGGGGGGCGCG